ACAAGCCATCACAGATAAAGGTTCCAGACAGTTCTTCCAACTGCTCTGTGGAATAGGGACCTACCCTAGCAACATAGGGGTCCTCCCTAAGGGCTTTTACCTGTTTACTCAACCTATGCTCTTTTCTTAGGGGGGGGTTTAAGAAATAGGATTGTTGTACTCACCATAAAATCCATTTATCAGATTGTGGAACATTAAGCAACCCAAGGTTATACTGCCAGCTACAGGAGAAGTAACTCCTCCAAACGACTTAGTTTTAGAAAGCAGTCCACAGACATAATGATGTATGAGAGAATGGAACCATGTCCCTCGACTGACTCCTTAAAAAGGATTTTAGGGAGAGTACAAAAAAACTTTTTTCTCTATTGTCCATTGAGTTGATATTAAACAAGCAAACTGGGGACATGCAAAAGCAGTCCAAAACTGAGGGGTGGGCATACCCAATCAAGACAGGCAAACCAGCCTAATAAGAAAAAAAAAAGGGAAACCAGTCATTTCTTCCAGTGAGATTACAAGAACAGGTCTTGTCAGCAGCTGGAAGAAATACTATCATTGGTCCAGTTTACTTTTGGTCCATTCACGTTGTTCTAAATCAATTTTTTGGACCCCTGCAATTCATTGGATCCTCTTGGATTGTCTGTCAGACCTTTATTTGAACAAAGCTGTATCTGGACTTCTTAGCAGTGCTGTGGTACTTTCATTTCCATTTTTCATACATTACACTACAAGCCAAAAAAAACACTGATATATCCTTTGGGCCAGTGGTCTCCAAACTGTGGCCCAGGAGCGGAATGTGGCCCTTTGCTTGCCTTTATCTGGCCCTTGGAGCAATATTTCATCCTTTGATACCAACAATTGGGTATAATTCCCCCCACGAACACCAACAAAGGGGCACAATTTCCAGCCAACAACACCAACGATTGTGGCACAGTTCCTGCCAGTGACACCAATGATGGGGCATGATTCTTCTAACTCAATGACACCAATGATGGGGTGCAATTCCTCTCACTGACACCGGAGATGGGGCATTGTTTACTTCCACTGATGTCAGGTAATTCTTCCAGTGGCCACAGTCCGGACCCCTAAAGTCTGAAGGACAGTAAACTGGCCCTTCGTTTAGAAAGTTTGGAGACCCCTGCTCTGGGGTGTAGAAGCTGATCATCAAGGAACCAGACCATTGACATCAACATCAATATTTTTGGATAGCAATATCAATAATATCAACTTACAGGTCCAGTGCTATTGTTCCACTTTCCTCAACTATCCAAGACCAAAAACATACTTTGGTGTGGAGTCAGCTTTAATAGAAGAAAAGCAGCAGTTCTTATTTAACCAAATCCCTGGGGGATGGAACTGCAGCATGGGTGACTAAAAGTAGGAATCTCATTGATTGCTGTGGAAAAAAATAATAAACCAGAGTCAAACAAACAAGTTTGTTTTAATATAAAGATAAACGTTTGTGCAGAAGTTAGACAGAAAACTCGAGGAAAAAAATCTTCAAAGTAAAACAAAAAAAAAATCTTTTCCGTTCACATAAAAAACTTTCACATCTCATTTTTTTCATAAGTTTTTCTTTTTTTTTTTTTTTTTTCTTAATTTCATTACCTTAGGGAAAACACCCCACCCCCCTCTCAAAATGAAAACTTGTTTTTTTTTTCTTCTTTTCAGTTCTTTTTCTGCTGGTGTGTATAACGTGTACAAACAGCAAGTTTCAGTGGGGGGGGTGGTACGAGGTGGGAAGGGATGAAGGAGATTGCAGCCGTTTAGTGGTTAAAAGAAATAGGTTGAGACCAGTGATACGGTGCAGCTGGTATATCATGACATTATAGCTGAGAGCCCAATACGTCGGCAAAATGCACCAATCCCGTTGGGCTAGCCAGGTCATTGCAGTTCAGTTGTCCTAAGGGGTCAGCAGTGCAGGACTGACCCAACTACACTTTCCACTTCCATAAGGCACTCCAGCGTAAAGCACTCTGCAATTAATGCAACTGCCAGGATTCCTGGACAAGGATGGCTCTCCCAACATAGCCACACCCACATTCTTGACTCCACCCACTTTGGGTTGAAGGCCCGCATGCTTAAACAGTATAACCTGGAGCTTTTGGCAACTAAGCGTGAAGCAACTCTGTAGATCTAAAACAAGAGTTATTTTAATAAAACCAAGTATCACAAATATGTATGTAAAAGTACCCACATCTGTACAGATAACAAAATTGATGTTTTATTATACTGCCCTATTTACTAACCTAAGTTATTTGCCCTTGGTGACTAAAAATCCAAAATCTTTTACAGATATATGTAAATGATAAAGGAATCTGGTCATATAAACAAAGATGGCGGGTGCTACTGCTGGCACTCCACCACGACATGCTAGGTGGAATGGCGGTCATTCTGACTCCCATCCTGACAGAGATACTGACCCAAAAGAAATATGCAAGTAAGGACCTTTTACATTTTTATTTTGAGACTTTAGAAGTGTTAAAGCCAGTGGGTCAGCATAGCAGCCAAAGCAACTAGCATTTTTCAGAACCATGTCAGCAATGACACCTCACATTTTTATCGTAACAGAATGACTTTAAATTGTATGTAAAGCCCAAACTTTTTTTTTTTTTAAGTTTTGGATAGAGCGTGGAAGATAAAGGATCCCATACACAGGTCCGTCCGATTCCTGCTATATCAACTGAAATTTGAGCCGTAGGTCTGCCCACCTGGCTCAACAAAAATCGACTGTTCATTCGACTTTTGTCAATAGCACCGGCTGTCAGAATACCATAACCAGCAGCAGAGATTCAGCCATCTGTGCTTTTTAACATAGATGGAGGAATCTGTTAGAGAACCTGAATGACAGGCTGAAAAACAGTGTGTATGGTCAGCTTTAGCATCTTTGCCTGATTTTGTTGGGGAGATTTACCCTCACGGTTGGTCCTGGTCACTCCTGACCACTGGTCCTAGTGACCTTTGTACAGAAAGTGATGGGAAATGTAAACTATTAAAATTGTCACAAGAATAGTGAGGGACTCTTCTATTAGGAAAATTTGTTCTGGCAACAAATGTCTAAAAGTGGATTTCCTCCCTTGTTGGAGAGATCTCCTCTTACTTCAGGTTGTCTTTGGGACAACAAGTGAAGACAAATCTCCCTGAGGACAGCCAAAAAAAAAAAAAATAAAATAAAAACAGGTCTTTAACCATTCCATACTCTATCCAAAACTAGAAAAAAAAGTTTTGGCTTTACAAACTCTTTAAAATTGTAATTTAATCCAAAGCTTGGTAGTTAATCCACCATCAGCTTCTTCTATCGTCATGTAATGCTCTGCTTTCCCAGCTCATCCACAAATCATGGTTGTTCTTAGGGTACTTCCAGGTGTTGCCGAATTTTGTATTTCTGTGACATAATGGAAAATGAAACACAGAGACTTCTTAGCTTGGGTTAACAAGAGGTCCTATAGTGACTTATCACTTTAATACCTCTTCTGCTGCCTTCTAGAGGACAAAAGATATGAAGACCCCAAAAGGATAGTTACAACATAATGGAAGTGGCATGTGTGTAGAGCTGGGAACTGCCAGAGCTCCAAGAAATAAAAGAAGCAAAAGGTGATTTAGGAGGACCTAAAGCATCATACAAAGATTTGCCATTTCACACCTTTTCTCCTGCTGTCCTAAAATTGCTAATTAAGCTCATGCAATGCTTACCATCCAGCGTCCCACCACTGTGTTCCTATGTTGGCAGCTGGAGGAAGCTTGGAGCTACTAATAAGCAAATATAAAGCTGGTCATACACAGTTCCTTATGAACTGGATGAAATTCTAGCCATTTGTGGCCCTTCCACCTGACTTTCTTTAATCTAAAAAATGAAGGAGCAAGGTGGAATATTGTTGGTCAAACAAAGGCTACATCTGAATAGATGCAGCCACTGGTCAGATTTTCTGACTGCTGTGGGTGCCGGATGTCAGAATACAACAGCCAGCAAGGAAGATTCATCCATCCACGTTGTTTAGCATGGATGAGGGAATGGACAGATTTATTACTGTGTATGGCCAGCCCAAAAAAGGTTTTACTAGTAGCTTAGGTTTTAAGACAGTGGTGAGTATAAAACAGCTTTAGATGAAGCTAATTCCATCCATTCGATAACTAAAATCACTTTGGGAGAACGTAATCTTTATATAACCCAAATCTAGTTTCCTGGCTTATTAAAAAAAAACAGTTTTAAAAATACATTTTTTTGTTTTACAAATGTTGTATGCCTCCCTTCCAGCTACCAGTCTAAGCAAGCAGCAACATTTCCTAACTTTACACAATAACAATTTAAAATCTTTTAAAAAGGTTGGTTAAAACTGGGAGAAACCCCTACAAAAATATATATTCTTTTGCACGGATCTATGTCAGAACCTAAATTTTGTCATTTCCCTTCCAGTTACATAACCCCAAGTTGCTATTCCTAGGTATGTGAAAAAAACACTGCTTAAACAGCTGTATTAAGAACAGAGTGCTTTTTGGGGTGCAAGCAATGGCAGTGCATGGAGTACGTGACCCAGTACAATCCCCCCTCCCATGTGAAGTGGTTTGATTGACAATGGTCACAGCTCTCTGGTTGGAGCGCAGTCCTTTGGCGCCCCCACCCTCCCTCCACAATCACACGGCACAGTGCGAGAGTTTGCTCAGTCTTAGGCTTTGCCTGGAGTCTGTTCTCAGTCCAGTGGGTGTGAGAAGTCCAGAGGCACAGGTTGAATTGTAAGGAGATAAGGGGAGAGGCAGATATTTGTCCATGTGATATGCAGTTATCTCCACTCCGGCCTATCCCAACTCTTGCAGAGACTAGTCCAGACCACGTTACAGCACAGTGATGCTTCGCTGTTGAGGTTGAGTGCAGAATAATAGGTAAAGCCAGGGGAGGACAGCATCATCCATTAAGAGGCCAGAGGAACTAGGTGGGAAGTGAGGGAGGGATGAAGTGAGTGCGCTGGTGAGTCTCCATCGCCTTATTCCCACAGCCTGCTGGAAGGTCAGGGCGAGTGTGTAGAAGGACTACTGTGGGTGGAACTGGGGGAAAGACTTGGACTGCAGCTTCCTGGTGGGGCGGGGGGGGTAGGAGGCAGCAGATTAGGAGTTCCGGCTGCCAAGTTGTCTAGGCCCTCAGAATTCTCTAGCATCTCCTGGATGAGAGGAGGCATGGATCCTGGGATCTCCATCTTCAGAGTGATCACACGTTCAGCACCTGTACAGTGAACAGAAGCGATTCAGGTCAGCCAATAACTTCACATCCACCATCCAACAGATAACTTGTGAAAAATCGACACACTGTCTGAAGCTGGCCACATACATTACCATTCTAGGCCTAATCATCTGAGCTGTATACAACTGCAAGATCCCTCCACAGAAAGCATGAAGGTTTCACCAGATCTTTTAAGCAATCACTTGAAAATGAACACATTTCACCACCCTCCTCAAAAGACTGTTCAATGGTTTGACAAGTCTAAACATAAATGTGCAAAAATATCTCCGTCTGCAGTGGACTGTAAGATAATATCACGTTAAAATTTAAGAGTTTGACATTTCCCGACACATCCAATCCTTTCTGGAATCAGGGCCTGATTGGATTGTATAAAAATAAACCCACACATGCTACAGTAAGCATAAAATGCAGATGGATTAAAGGATCAGTCAACTTAAAGTTGATATTTTAGTTATTGGAGGATGTGTTAGCTCCAGTCTTGTTATGTGTTGCATATTCCAACATTGGCTGGCCATAATTCCTAACTCTGCTCTTTTCCATGTGGGAGTTTTGGGTGTACCTGCCCACCTTTATCCATTTCAGCCTCTATCCTGCATCCTTCAGAGTATAACCCTAACAATTCTAGCAGGGAGAATGGGACACCTTGTAACGGTCACAGCCAGAGTGCAGACGCCATTATTTAAGTACCTCACAAATAGAGAAACCTCCAAGAGGAAGGAAATGTTAAAGTGGTTCTAAAGGCAGAAGGTTTTTTACCTTCATGCACTCTATGCAAGTAAAGTGCAGTTCCCCCTTAAACCCGGATTCACATATATGCAGCCGTGCGGGCTGCGTTTTGCACGGGCACAAGAGCCCATTCATTTGAATGGACTCCTGTGCCCTGTGACACGCAGAGAAGTCCCTTCACTTCTTTGGAAAACGCAGCCCTCACGGGAACCTCGGTTCCCAGTACGGTTGCGTTTTCCAGTTTTAGAACTAATGGCACCCGCCCGTGGGTCCGCATTTCTCTGTGCAGGTGGTGCGGCTGCATGGATTTTTGTGCGGATCCACAGCTGCACCACCCGCACAGATGTGAACCTAGGGTTATACTTACTTGAGCCCCATCTCGATTTAGCGATGTGCAAGGGAGTTTTGGCTGTCCCAGGACTCTCTCTTCTCATTGGCTCATGCGGCAGCCATTGGCTCCTGCTGCTGTCAATCACAGCCAGGGAGCCAATGAGGGGAGAGTGGGGGGTGAGGCCGAGCCACGCTCTTTGTGTGAATGGACAATGTCCATTCACGGGAGTGTGGCTCAGGAGTGAGCCTGCTCGAGTGCTCCCACAACAAGAGGCTTGCTACTGGGGGTACTTGGCAGGGGGGGGGGAAGAGCCAGAACTGCTGGCAGGAGACCCAAAAAGAAGAGGATTGGGGCTGCTCTGTGCAAAACCATTGCACAGAGCAGGTAAGTATAAAATGTCTGTTTTTTTTTTTTTTTTTTTTTAGTTTTAACCTTTAGAATTAATTTAAGGTTTTACACTCCATCACATCTCAAAGACTAAAATGTGGATTTTGGGTGAACTGAACCTTTAAGCAGAACTTTACCACCGTATTATAACACGTCATTAACATGGGGAAATATAAATCCTGCAGATGTGTGTAATAATCAGCAGAAAAAAATTATTGTTCACATTATTTGTTGTTTTTTTTTTTTTTTTTTACTGAATTTGGAAAAAAAAAAATCATAGCCATATTTTTTTTTACTTACAAATACAATCTGAAGCCCCTCTGACATTTGACAGCTGAATGACAAGAAGGGGGTAGAAGAAGGGGGTAGAACCAGGAGGGTAAAGGGAATGGGCACCACACGGACTGATTCAAAGGATAAGGCCGGTTATATGTAGCTTGAATTTCAGCCAACACTGAAACCAGCGGCTCAAAAAAGCTCCAGTGAAAAATGGAAGGAGCCAAGTGGAGAAAGAACGGCCAAACAGTGAATGCAGCCAATCAGCTGCAGCCACTGATTGGGTATCCTGACAGCTGCTGGTGATAGCGGTTAGAATACTCACAAATATTTTCAGTCCTTCTTCCGATACCATAAAGTCCCTGAAAAAATAAACTCCTCCCTATATACTCTGCTGATAGTTCCTTGTCTGCCCTGATCTCAAAACTCCTCTCTGCACTGAAATGCTGCACTGAAATGCTGAAGTGTACTATGCTAGATGTTGCCACTGATGTTTTGCCTATAAGCGATACATATCACTCAGGGTTATGGCTGATGAAAGCTGGCTGTACACTGGGCTGAACGAAAAAAAAAAAATTCCTTTATCCGCACAAACAGTGGCTCCCAGGCACAAAAACATGCCGTATTTTACATTATGCAGCCCAGTATGCTCATTTGCATAAGCCCTAATTGAGTCCTAGATAGAAAAAAAAATCTTCCAACCCTTCTTCCCTCTATCCGAAATAAAGAAAAGTTTTTTTTCAGGAGTACACTTTAAATCCTCATACACACTTGACGTTTTTACAGCTGCCGTTTTTGGCTTTTGACATTTTTTTTCTACAGCCAGTAAACTCCCCAGCATGTTATCCTATGTGTCCATGCACACAGACTGTAATAAAGTTTTTTTGGCTGGGATGTTTTTTGGCTGGAAAAAAAAAACAAAAAAAAAACAGGATTAGTGGGTTTCTAGCGGAGTTTTTTTAGCTGTAAAAACATTAGCGCTGAAAATGTGCTAAAATGCCACAAACCTGCGTTTTTGGACTTTTTTTTCAGCAAAAAAAAAAAAAATTTTCTTGTAAAAACAAAACTGCTAAAAACTCCGCTAAACATGGCAAAACACCGCTAAACGCTAATGCAAAGATGCTTAAAAAAGCTGAAAAACTCGCGTTTTTAACGTGACTTTACACAGCTAACGTTACCAGTGTTCTCAAAACTTCCCGTGTGCATGAGGACTAAAGCAGACGTTCACTCACATTTTCCCCATAGCCTCTTTCTAACCCTCCCTGTTACAGATTTACAAAGTTTTTTGGGGGGTAACAAGTACCTTTTTTGGGGGTAAAAAGTACCTTTTTGGGGGGTAGCAAGTACCATTTTTGACAGGTACTTCCTTATTCCTCACCTAGGCCACAATGACTTCTGTAAGGCTACGTTCACACTAGTGTTGTGTGCAGGCGGCTGAAAGGCGTTTGAGGAAGCGTTTTTACCGCTTCCTAACGCCTCGGAAAATTTGCACATTACAGCACATGGTGCTGTTCTAACGGGAGCGTTTACGTCACGTGGCGGCAAAACGGACGCCTCTGGTCGATTCAGGAGGCGTTGAAGCCTCCTATTCTAGTCTATGGTGCCGCTCCGCAAACGCCCGGCTGCCGTTTGCAGTGCATTTGCGATTTGCAGAGCGATAACACCATTCAAACTGCATTATAGGCGTTTGTGGGGCGTTTTTAACGCTCGGCAAACGCCTAGCAACCGCTGCTAGACCGCGCATGCGGTGTTTGCGGAGCGTTAAAAAAAACGCTCCGCAAACGCCGGACCAACGCCTACCAAAGCGTGTTGGTAAAACAGCCAAGAGTGAAAGAGCCCTTAGGGCTGTCCCCACCCACAGCCTCATGTAGAGACTTCCCCCTCATTCACTAATGGAGTAATACTAAATATTTTGGCAAAAAAACCTGAATATTACCAACACCTCTAAATAATGTTGATTTAATGAGATCAGGGTCCCACTAGGTACCAGCTGGCCAAAGATTTTGGCTATTTATGGCCCAGCCTTGCAACAAAACCATAAAATAGATATTGGTGCAGTGCTAGGATTAAATGGAAATAACCAATTCTCGTCTTATAAATGCATGTATAGGATAAATGCGTTTTGCTTATAATGTGTAATAAACATCAATAATAACAATAATAATCTAAAAGTGAACGAATAAATAAAAGTGTAGATGTTTATAAGAAACGCATAACCATGACATGCGTGGTGATAATATAATGTCCAAAATTTCTTTAAATCTGGTATGATCTTCAAATCACACAGGCATACCCCTTTTGACAATGAACGCTGAGTTCGAAATGTGTTAAGGAGGAGCCCTTGCAAGCCGTTGACATCAAGCCGTCGGATCCCCCCTTCATATTTCCAGCTGGTCAGTCATTCGTGTGCATATCTTATGCGACCATTATTGTGACATTTTCATTTTATACTGCAGTTTTTGTATGTTCTTTTAACACAATTTTAAGTACTATCAATAAAGCATCTTCTAAATACTACACTATGGGATATCTCTAATTCTTGCTCTGCACTGAGCACCTTAAATCCCCCAGCACCATTTCTAGTGAATGTCCCAGCATCCAGAAGAGGTTGAGCTACCAGTACTGGCCATCACACCTCAGCACCTTTAGGAAGACCATCTACCCCCAGGCTGCATACCTGACCACACCCGAGGGACCCGTGTATACCAGGAGTACATTATACAACGCGCTATTAGCGCATCTGGTGAGTGCGCACTCTGTATGTTTAGTACACCCACCTAAGGAGAAATTATACTCTGGGACTTTACGAAAGTTATTTGAAGATCATACCAGATTTAAAGAAATTTTGGACATTATATTATCACCACACATGTCATGGATATGCGTTTCTTATAAACATCTACACTTTTATTTATTCATTCACTTTTAGATTATTATTGTTATTATTGTTTATTACATATTAAACAAAACGCATTTATCCTATACATGCATTTATAAGACGAGAATTGGTTATTTCCATTTAATCCTAGCGCTGCACCAATATCTATTTTATCAATTTATCTGAACGCATTTTGGTTTACCTTTTAGTGTGTTCAGCTGCATATTTTATACATTTGGTTTTATTATAAGCGCTCGCTTCATCATCCTATTATTTTTGCAAGAAAACCACCCCATGCTGCAGCTAAGAGTAGGAAAATGACAAAATCTATCAGGATTTGACACCCAGAAGGAGCCACATTTCAGGCATGTTAGTATTACATTCTAATGAGGGACATCAGAGGAAGGAATAAAACTGAATAGTAGAGTTAGTTGAGTCTGAAAAGTTCACTTTAATACTTTTGTACAAGAAGGCCTAAACGGTCACACATGCTTACCCTTGGCACTGATGCTTCGCAAGTCTGTGTGATCTTCATCAGCATTTTGGGGAACATGTGTGGTTTTTTGGGCCGTCTCCTCCTAACATAGATCTTAAGCGCTTCCAGTAGAGGCTCCTGTAACTTGTCCACCTTGTCCGGCTGCTCCAGGTCCTGCCGATCTGTTAACAGATACTTTGAACTGTTATAATATGTCCTTACAATCAGAGACATTCACTGTAGGCAATAATGGATGGCTACAGTCACAAGGCAGGCACATTTTTTTTTACCATCTCCAGTATATACAACTTACATAATATTGACCACCACGTGGCGCTGGTGATTCACATTCACTGACAATTTATAGAATAGTGAAGTATTCATACTACAATGTCTTTGTTTCAAGTTTTCACCAAAATGAATTTTAATAATAAAAAAAAGGAACAAAAAATGTAATGACCAGAGACCATTAAAGTTTAGATGCCTAGGCCTTCATCAACTATAACTTTAGGACTGATCTATTTATTTCAGGTACTTATAAAGCGCCATCAATTTACGCAGCGCTTTTACATATATATTGTACATTCACACCATTCCCTGCCCTCAAGGGGTGTACAATCTAAGGTCCCTTATGCAGGCCATCCATGGTTCGAGTTCCGAACGATTTTCGTACAAAAATCGGACCTAAGAATAATCAGCCGATTTTCGCTGTTAGTGGGGCAATGGCATTGGCCGATTTTGTGATTCCTCCTCATTTCATTTATCGGGCATGCTGGAAAATTTGTGAAAAACGACCGTTTTTCAAAATCATTGGTAGCATCATCGGATTACAGAACGAATGACGTTTCGATTTTCGGACGAAAAAACGGTCGGAATTCGAACCACGTAAGGCCTGCATAACTCACATTTATACATACATATACTAGGGCCAATTTAGACAGGAGCCAATTAACCTACCAGCATGTCTTTGGAGTGTGGGAGGAAACCCACGCAGGCACAGGGAGAACATGCAAACTCCAGGCAGGTGGTGCCGTGGCTGGGATTCGAACCAACGACCCTACTACTGCCAGGCGGAAGTGCTTGGGTGCACATATCTAGTTCTGTAGCAATGTTAACTTGCAGCCTCACTATTCTGTTCCATTCAATTGCATTTTTCATCAAGAACGTCCAGAACTGTCACAAAATCTGTTCATGAATGGCCAGCATTAGGAAACATTGTTTTTTGCTATGTTCAAAAGAAGCAACACTTGTGGCTTCTGATTTGATATAAATGCTGCATCTGTGCTTGTCACTGGATCCCAAGTCAGAGCGAGTATACAGTCAGGTAGACAGAAGCCTGTATCTACATAGTTATTCTGCATCAATAATTCCAAGTATTGAAGAACAAGGCTCAGCATGACAACTGCCAATTTCAGAAGGACAGGTGAGCATCAGCAACTTCCATTTTGGTGTCATGACAGCTTTCCTTTAAAATCCAAAAAAGAGGTAAGTACTTCCCCAAAATTGCTCTGCCAACTGCGTAGAGATCTCATGTATTGAGTCCATCAGAGTCTTAAAAATTCAAAGCTGAACTCTTGGTTAAACCAAGATTGTCAAAACATAAGAAGAATGTGTATTCTTACTTGAATCTAGTTGTGCTTTGTGTGTTTTTTCAGGATCAGTGCAGCAATCCATCATGAAACTTTGCCTTTGAGCAGGAACTTCCTGTACTACAGACCAGTCAATACTGCTGTCTCCTTCTGCAGGCTGACTGGTCTTGTCTCTGCACCCCCCCCCCCCCCCCCCCCCATCCTGTATTTTCCTGAAGCGGGTAGACTTGCTGGTTCCAAACCACAGCTCTGCTCTCCAGGCCATGTGCAACACAGAGATGCTGCTGCCACCATCCTTTTCCAATAGCAGTACTAGGGTTGTTGGTTTGAATCCCAACCACGGCACCTCCTGCCTGGAGTTTGCATGTTCTCCCTGTGACTAGGTGGGTTTCCTCCCACACTCCAAAGACATGCTGGTAGGTTAATTGGATCCTGTCTAAATTGTCCTTAGTATATGTATGTATGAATGTGAATTAGGGACCTTAGATTGTACACCCCTTGAGGGTTAGGGACTGATGTGAATGCACAATATATATGTAAAGTGCTGCGTAAATGGACGGCGCTATATAAGTACCTGAAATAAATAAATATCTGGGATTACAGATGCATTTGATGCACACAAAGAAGATGTATATCCTTTGTGGCTAATCAGGCATAGGTTTCCATTACATTTTTTGTACCCAGGATTCAGATTTAAAAACTTTAACCAGACTATCATTTTTTTGGTGGCAGAATGACCCTTTCCACGAAGACATGTCCAAAGATACAATTCTAAAACACAAAATCCGATCACAGTGAAAAAAAAAAAACATTTCGAAAACATTCATCAATTTGTCAAAATGACAAATTTTACAGCTTTTAAAGCAGCAGTCTGGTTAATCGAGTCGTTGTGCTCCAGACAGGCAGGAATAACTGGGCAGCTGCTGACTGAATGGAACATAAAGAGACATTATGCAATTAAAGGACATAGCAAACAATGCTTGCATTGTCAATATACATTAATTATCGAAAATTAATTACGGGAAGAACTGTGGAAATGTTTTTACTTTTGCCCTTTGCACTTAATATAACGATGATTATCTGGAGCAACAGCTTTGGGGTATAAATCTCAAATGTTCCAGACCACACTGATACATTGTGAGTTGAATCTGTCCACGCTTGTCCATTTTCTTACAGTGCGAGCAAAAAAACATTTACATGAAGGGTAAGCGCACAAAACCCAAAGATAAAGGTTTAAAAAAAACTTGTATTTAAATGCACATAAATGAATGATTGTGATTAGTTATCGCGGATCAGTTCTTTACCCACTGCAGACTCGCTCTAAAGGGTTAGATCACCTTTACAGAAAAAATTGAAGTTGCTGGAGCTTAACCCTTTGAGGACCATAAAGATTACGGAACGCCAAAAGAATCAATTTTTTGTTTTTAAAGTTTGTACACTTCAGTTGCTGTTACTAAGCCATTTCATGAAATAATTGGCAAAAAGCTAGATCCATTTGTTGATAAGAACTAATATTTTGACTCAAACAAAAAAAAAAAAAAAAAAAGTATATTAAGTTCTTAATTAGATGATACAGGCAATTAATAACATGGGACAAATACGTCCCTAGGTCCTCAAAGGGTAAGCTAGCCATATGTGATTAGATTTCTCTCATTCATCCTGTGGGATGCAGGAAGAGTCATTTGACTTCTGTCAGCTGTGAGTGTCAAGTGCAGAGTTCCAGCTAGTGTATAGTGAAGGATCAAATTGCTCACTCTCCCTTTTCCTCTTCCCTCATCCACATACAAAAAGCCTTGTTATCTTTTCACTGAATGCAAGGCGCTCTGTGAATTGACAGCAAGAGAGGAGGGGCGCATAAATCCTCTTCCATTCAAAGAATGCTTTGTGTTCATCAAAAAAAGTACAAGGCTCTTTAAAAATGGATGAGGGAGAGTGAGCAGCTTGATCCTTCACTGTGCACTGTCAGCATGCACCCAAAGAAGCTCAAAGCTGAGAGTAGTATCTGGCATGAAGAAACTGAGGATTTCTAGCACCCCCAGCCACTATCTGGTCCTAGTTTACAAGTATTAAAGATAACGTCTTTGGAGGTCTACTTTAAAATTGCACTTGCAAATTTTTTTTTAACATAGCATACAATAACAGAGGTTCTAACCCTTCTAAGCTTTACTAATAAAGCACTTTTATTGCCATCCAAGTCCCTGCTGGAGAAATTGTCATCCTATTGATAAAACAAGAAATCAGGGAAATTAGCTACCTTTGAGATACAACCAGCATTAAACCCTTTAAAGGGCTTGAACCTTTTCCCCATTCTATCCAAAGCTAAACATATACTGTTGCTACCAGTGCAGGGGCGGACTGACAACTCATGAGGCCCCCAGGCAATAGGGGATCATGGGGCCCGTGTCCTTGCCCAAACTCAAAAAAGTCTATGAAAAAGGTACCAGGGGCATCTCATGGAGCCCCCTACTGACCCGGGCCGGGCAGTGCTCGAGTTTCCAAATGGTCAGTCCGCCCCTGTACCAGTGTACTTACATCAGAATTGACAAGCTAAAGAAAGCCATTTCACTCTGCTGACCAGCTTTGTGACAAAATTATAAACGCTACCACAAAGCATTAGGAGACACTCTAGCCTTACCTCCAGAGATCAGGCAAATGGCGCTCAAGAGACCAGTCTCTGCGTCGTCCATTTCTAGCGGTAGTAGCTGATTGGCGAAGGCAAAGACTAGATCCGTGAGGGGTCCAAACCCAGCATTGTGCATCTGCGTCCTATTAAGTGTGAGACCATCTGAGAACGTCATGGTGTCTTGGTCTGGGGTATAACGTATGCAAATTCGTAGGATCTGTGGCAAAATAAGAAATGCCATTTAGATGAAATAAGAAGACAACAAGAAATTTCTGAAAGGGCAGAAAAGGAGCATATAGCTTTACATGTGCAAATGAACTGAAATATGCTGCACATACACAAGGCACAACTAGCTGACACCAAATCAGGGGTGGACTGACAACTCATGGGGCCCCCAGGCAATAGGGGATCATGGGGCCCCTGTGTCCTTGCCCAAACTCAAAAAAGCCTATGAAAAAGGTACCAGGGGCATCTCATGGGGCCCCCTACTGACCCCGGGCCCTCAGGCAGTGCCTGAGTTTCCCAATGGTCAGTCCGCCCCTGCACCAAATAGCAAGTCCTATGTACATACACAACTGTTGGCAATCTTTCATCAGATTTTAACATTAGTATGCATTGTTGTGTCTCATGAGCAAACCTTGATGTTCAGCGGGCATCCCAATGTAAGCTTTAACTTAGGAGAAGTGACTATTGACAGAAAATAATCCAATCTGGCCAAAATCCTACCACAATCCTTCCCAACCAATCGGTCTCCTAGCGTTCTCTGTGGAGGACCCACACCCACAGATATACCAATCAGTGGTCAATCCTGTTGGCTGTCAATCCTGTTGGCCCTCACCCTCAACAGTGATTCAGCAACCACAGCAGCCAACACACAGGCAGCATGGGGTTTGCGCTACAAACCACCGCTTTTTTCCAAAGCTGGCCATACCCATGACTGTTTTTCAATCAGGCAGCAGCTTAACAGATTTTTTTCCATCCACACTCAACAGCAAGTCTCCCTCTTGACAAGAAACCCAAGTAGAGGGATATATGAAAAGGACCGGCAGGGGTACAGGCTGTTGGGTCCCACTACCACCTTTGCAAAAGGACTTGTGTCAATGCTACAACCCTAAATAATGAGAAACAAGGGATAATAAAAAATGATGAGGAAAAGTCAAGAACTGGTTTATTGCAAAGTAAAATGTGTTTAACGGAAAACCCATGAATAGAATTTACAACAGCTATAATATAAATGATAACCCTTGTTCAAACTTCACACAGCTTTACCTATTGTCCATATATTGACCTTATCTACAGAATAAGACATTTAAAGGAAGGCATGTGACATTCTGCAGCTGCTTCTATGTCAACACCATCGAGTATGCTTATCATACCATTAAGGGGCTGAAGATCAAAGCGTAGGAACAGCGCTATGGCAGGAAAACACATCCGCTGGTCCCTTTCTACCTGGAGGTGACCATTTGTATCTTCATTACAAAGAATGCAGCCAATATGAAGCCAGCCATACGCCAGCAGAATGCTCGTTTTCAGAAATTTTGTTTGATTTTCTGATGGTTAGTTGGGGGTCAAATCGATGTTCATTTTTGATCATGGAGACAAAATTCAAAGGCGCAGGATGGAAAATTTTTGAAAAACGAGCTGCTAACTGTGAATGCGGTTTTCATTAAGGAAAAACCATACTTATTGTAATGAAACCCCTTTAATACGTCTATGATTCCATTTAAATAGCAGGTCTGGGCAAAATTTCAAGGGTTTCCAAGCGAAATTAGTTGACTCATTGATGGCAAGAGAGAATGTTCTGACAAATGATTTTTCAAACCTTAGAGATAACATATGGCCAGCTTTAGAAAGTGGAATTCTACTGTACCAAGGCAAGCGCCTGTTTATATGAAGCTAAAATATATTACAATTTTGTTTTTTGATTTATTTATCCTTTAAGGTAGCTGCGTTGTTCCTGAATGCCCAACCAACCTCAAAATAATTCCCCTTTAAATAAATTTGTTGGCACATATTGTAATCGGCAACAGCAAAAAGTCATTGTTAGAAGATGCTGGTTCTCCGCATCAGGACATCAAAGGAAAGAACAGGTTTCGATGGAGGCTGACACACTGGCTACCAGCCAAACAGTAGTGTACATTCCTTACTGGTACATGCATAGGTAGCCATGTGCAAAGACTGTTGTTAAGCAATCTTTCAGTGTAAGCAAATGAGACCAGGAGTCCATTTCCAAAGATGCATCTGATTATCCACAAAAAGACAATTAAGCTGGCCATAGATGGACAGTAGAAATTCAGATGGTTCAGCAGGGATCAGCTGCATTTTGATCCATCTATGGTCACTCCTGGTCGGAAGAAGTCAATCTAAAGACCAACTTTTGTTGAACTGTTGGAAAACTTTCGTTCGATTAGTGGCTGCAGCCAATCAGCTGCAGTATTGATCAGTGTATTCTGACAACAGAGAATTCCCTGCTGCCAGAATACAATAGAAATGTGAAGAGGATTCCTCCGTCCATCTTTCTTGTGTGGATTGGGGAATCCATGAGTCTTTTTGATTGGCCTGCTGGCTGATTGAAAAAAACAAAACAAAATACAATTCATCTATGGCCAGCCTCAGGCACCCTTTATATGATCAGTTTTTAAAATCAGTATAGCTAGTTTTATATCCTGATAGTATAAACTGAAAAAAAGTTATTTTAAGTAGAACTATAGGGAAAAAACTTTTTTTTTCCCATTTTGGATAGAGTAAGTGAGGGTTATAACCCCTGTAAGGTTTATTGTTGCCATCTTTGCCCCATTGCAGAGATTTACCTTCACTTCCTGCTCATAGCCAAAACAGGAAGCGAAAGCAAATCCCTGTAAATTAAGGAACTTTCCTGGGGCTCCCAGGTCACCAGAACTAGTGTCCCCATTGGAAGATTTCTACACTATTACCTTTCTGGAGACAACCCAAAATGTTAGATTTTCTTTTACTTTCACTTTCAATAATGGTAAACAGGACAGAGAGGGAGAATTTCCCTAACAGGGGCACAGACAGCAATAAAAACCTGACAGGTGTTTTAACCACTTGTCCTCCAGAGGATTTACCCCCTTCCTGAGGAGGCCATTTTTTGCGATACGGCGCTGCGTTACTTTAACTGACAATTGTGCGGTCATGCAACGCTGCACCATAATTAAATTTCTGGCCTTTTTTTCCCACAAATGGATCTTTCTTTTGGTGGTATTTGATCATCTGTGCATTTTTACTTTTTGTGCTATAAACAAAAAAAAAGACCAACAATTTTAGGAAAAAAAACAATATTTTTGACTTTATGCTATTAAATATCCAGTAAAAAAAAAAAAAAATCAAACTTTCGTCATACATTTAGGGAAAAATTTATTCTGCTACGCCTTTGCTAAACAAAAAATCCCAATACGTGTAAATTAATTGGTTTATGTGAAAGTTATAGAGGTTTACAAATAGCGGTATATATACTGGAATTTGTTTTTTTTTTATACTAGTAATGATCAGCGACTGCGGCAGGCATTCTGACACTGGGGGAACTGACTGTCACTGACATCCCCAGTGAAACCAATACAGTGATCAGTGCTAATAAAAAGCACTGACATTGTACTAATGTCACTGGGCAGGAAGGGGTTAACATCTGGGGCGATCAAAGGGTTAACTGTGTGCATTTTACTATGTGTGCTGTGTGTGATTTACCTTGTAAGTATGCTGCTTTGTATTGCTCTATATGCAGAGCAATACAAAACAGCATGCTGGGGCTGACAGGGGAGAGATCTGTATTGTTTACATACAGGTCTCTCCCCCGTCAGTGATACTCGGCGATCGCTGGTGGGGAATCACCAGCCGGGACCTGGTGATCGACAGCCAAGGCCACTAATGGAGGCGTGGGTAGGGCGTACATGTGTGCCCTCTGCATGGAAGTGCAAAATCACGTGATTTTGCGCAACTCTGCCGCCCTCTAGCAGTATTTCTGCTATAGGGCGGGGGTTAAGTGATTAATCACCCTCCCCTCTATCAAAAAAAAACACAAACAAAAAGGTTTTGCCTTTAGTTATACTTTAATATATAGGGTAGGATAATCTGCACTCACCAGGATGTCCAGGCAGGCTGCTTTAAGGAGGGTGATTTGATCAGCGATGGTGAGAGTGGTGAATCCCGGCAACTGTTTGGCAAATTCCACCGTTTTGATAATACATTTGGTGGAGAGTTCACTGAACTTGTCCCAGAGGTCGATGTCCAGCGAGACTCGCTGCTCCGAACTAAAGTTCTAGAAAAACAAAAAGAAAAACATAACACTATCTTCCCTACATCCCAGTGATGGCTGTACCTGTTCACACTGCTCTATATCCCTATCTTCACGATGCCAGCCACTGTATTCACCACAACACACTCTCCGATCCCCTGTGCTTTGTATGGCAGCCCACTCTATGAGTTCGCTGCCTTACCACCACTTTTGTGTTCTTCTACTTATAGAATTCTGTGTCTCCCATTTTTTAACAAAGATATGCTGTCTGCAGTAGACTGCCTATGAGGAAGGGCTCTGAGGAAGAAGTACAACCTTGAAACGTGTCAGCCATCAGCTATCCATAGGTCTACAGTCCCCCACCTGACTACCTTCAGGGGTTTTGGACCACACTGCATCTCTTGTGACATGCTTTCCATTTGATTTTATTTCTCTTGTGAGTATTTTACTTTTTAGCAATAAATCTAATTTTTAACCCCTTGGCGCCGGTGCCTCCCGACCCTTTAAGGGTTTTAGAAGCCAGGAGGCGGGGTTTAGGGTCATGTGACCGCCGTGACACGCCGTCACAACAGTCACATGACTGGGAGAGGTCCCGATCCAAAGAGGAGATCGGGACCTTTCCGTGAGTACCGCACATGTGTGCTGGGAGCGCACAGAACATGCACTCTCAGCACGTTTTTTTTTAATAGAACGCAAATGTGCGGCCGCTTGGCATCTAGGCCCAGACGCCGGGAGGCCGCACATTTGCGTTCGGCCGGCGCGAAGAGGTTAAGGTAATGCACTAGGCCCGTGCACCGTCTCTTCATATACAGGTGGCCTATGACCGCCTGTGATTCCCGGACTACCATAGTGGAGAAAAACTCCCAAAGAGATATAAAATGTCATCTAACATTTCATAAATAAACATCTTCTCTCATTTCCTTCTCTGTATCCTCTAACAGTGGAACACAATCAGCTACCAATCGTTTCTCCCCACCAGCAATACGTTTTTTGCTCTGCCTCCCTTCTCCCCTATCACTCTTGCTCTACTCTCCCCCACCCTACCACAATCATCTTCCTCTTCTAGATGGTTTCATCTGGCTTTTTTTTCCTTGACAAGAACCATAAACCAGATCATAGTTTGTAAAGCTAGATTTAGACAAGTTTAAACCTAAGCAATGTAATGTCTACCAGTTGATCCTCATCAACACTTGACGGGTAGAAATCTATTCAACAATAAAGTGCACTTAAAATTAAAACCGCTTATCATCACATGGATCTAAAGTGAACACAGAATACGGAATCTGATCCCCCACCCACATCCTGCATTCATGTTTTCTCCATGACTCATCAGTCAAAACCAGTGTGGCTTAAAGTAGAACTTCACAGTTTGGTTGGCCACACAGCCAATCACCGTCCATCCTGAGCATCGCCTGTGACTAAGAAAGGCTTTCCTAGAAACGCTGGCAGAGCCAAACTCTTCCAAAGGATAAATATTATAGCTGGAGCCCTACAGATATAAAAAAAGCAAGCAAGAAATTTCGCCTACCAAGGTCTGCTCAAGGGAAATAGGAGTTTTTGAAAGACTGAATTTTAAAGCAGACCAGTCTTTGGAATAAGATCTCTCCTCTAAACACATGCCATTTCTGGGGGAAACAGTCGTGGCTCAGTACTCCTTGAAAAAGCTGGCAGCAAAATGTTGGAGTTGTCTCTCCGGTTCTACCATGTGCCCCAGAGTGGCATTTATAGCTATTGCAAAGTTAGCTGGCCAACACTGATTGAAATTTGACTGGTTTAACAAGGACCAGCCGAATTTCGATCAGTGTGTGGCCGTTGCCGCTTGATAGAAATCGATCACTTGATTGACTTCTGTCAAAAGGACATTTTGGAAACATTGTCCTCAATCAGCGGCTGCAGTCACCAATTACTGTATTCTGACAGCTGAGGGGAGGAATGCACTCGTTTTTTTTTTTCGTTCAGCCTACTGGCTGAATTAAAACAACCAATTTAAAGTGGTTCTAAAGCGGTTTCTCTAAAATAACAAACATGTTATATATTTCTGCTCTGTGAACCTCCTCTTCTGGGGTCCCCCACCAGCACTCTCTGTTCCTCCTGGCTATGGGGGCAGACATGGAGGGGCGGCACAGCCCCACGCTGTACTCAGAGGATTTTATTGACAGCAGCAGGAGCTGCCTCTGTGAACAGAGAAGAAAGGTGAGAACTACCAACAACAGGGCACAGTGCTGGATCGGGATATGACCAAAATGGGGGTTGCGGGGGAGTGTGGAGGGTGGGGGACAGATAAAATTCATGGGACATATTTCACCTTAATGCAGGGAATGCATTACGGTAAAACATGTCTAGCCTTTAGATACAAAATAAAAATTATATTATTAATGAATAATAATATTTAGTGCTGCGCTCCTGTGCTAAATTAACTATATAAAAAAACTTGCAACAGTGATTATCAGTTTATAATCAAACTATATACTCAAAAACATATTAAATTAACAAAAACAATATAATATAATAGCCTTGATGCAAACAATTTCTGTGTTAAATGAATCATATCCCCCTGATGAAGCCACATGACCCTGTGGCGTAACGCGTAGGGGAGGGGCTCTGAAGTCACCACGTTCTGTCGGCTAGCTAACGGCGTGTATTGTTAGTGTGATGACCACACACACAGGCATTTATCACAGACGCATTTTGATTGTTTTTAATGTGAGTGCAATTGCTTATTTGATTATTAAAATGTTTAAAAGGATAAGACACTATTTCTCGTTTTCTTTTTGATACCATTATGTGGAGTTCTGGAGGGGATATATAGACAAATAGACTCCTGGAGGTGAGAGTGAGGAATCCTTCCATATCCATCTTATTAAGCAGCATTGTGGAGAGACACCAGGTGGATCATTAGCATACAACGTGCAACCAGCTGAGTGAGAGATCTGGAGCAGGAGTAGTTTTCACCTGTCCTGTCAGGACAAAAAGTGTTTTTTGCCTATTTATATATTAGGCAAAAATTGGAGGTGAGCGCAATATATATTAATATTCATCGGTGTTTTTCCCCATTTGGTAACACGAGTTTTTGGATTTATCAAGAGGACTGTTCATTTAACACAGAAATTGTTTGCATCAAGGCTATTATATTATATTGTTTTTGTTAATTTAATATGTTTTTGAGTATATAGTTTGATTATGAACTGATAATCACTGTTGCAAGTTTTTTTTATATAATTAATTTAGCACAGGAGCGCAGCACTAAATATTATTATTCATTAATAATATAATTTTTATTTTGTATGTTGTGGCACTATTTATGAGTTGGTGTAAGGAGCTAGCGAACCACATGTGCATGTATTAGTAAATTATTGATTAATTGATCACTTATATTTCACCATATTAGCTCACAAGTATTAATATCACTTGATGTCTAGCCTTTAGAACCACTTCAATAGTGCATGGCCAGCTTTAGTTTGGATGCGCAGAGTTTACAGCACAAGAGTGGCTTTGTTGCTTTGTCCAGTGCTTGTTGCACAACCTTTGTGATTTGACACCTTAAGCCAGTCATAGACTGTTCCAATCTCAGCTGGTCCCTGCTGAAACGGACGAGATTCGAATCACGAATGGTCAGGCTGAATGTACCCAAGTTGATCTATCGATCAACGAGGCTTTCGGATTTTACATGAGATTATTGCTAGCACCTATTATAGCCACTAGCAATAATCACTTTGTTCTCCCGATGGGAATGCCCCCCCCCCCATCTGCCGGCTCCGTGGGAGGGATTCCCCCATAAACACTGACTGTATTGATGGGAGAATCAAGCAACTTTCCTTTCTTTTCTTGCAACCCGTGGCTGCAGGAAAGAAAATCGCTCCATCTATGACCGGCTTAAGTCTGGCATTCAATGCAAAGTTACTCCAGCTTGACTAATTGTTATACAGCTTGACCTCGCATTTAGTTCTTGCGGCTTGACTGTTCTCTGTCACACTGCTAATACAGACCCAAGGTTAACTAGCATCAGCGATAGAAAAAGTGAATTTGAAGAGGCATTAAAGCTGATGAGACCCGGGAATGGGAACCTCCTGCTGATGAGTGCCTGCGGCACACATGGACCCCCAACAGGTGATTGTTGTGTGAAGATATGTCAACATCCCAGCCTCATATTGGAACTAAATGCTTTAGAATAATGCCATGAGTGTATAAACTGAACCATATGCTGAAATAACGTTCGGATATTCTATGGTGAAGAAACATTAAGAGACTACGTGGACTTGAACTTACTGTAGTGTATTTCCCTAACTGGCAAAGAGAAGGGAAGGTTTCCTGGTGAGCTTTCCGCACTCTCTCAATCAGACTTTCAGTCTCTGGGCTCAGCACGTAGCTCTCTGTAATGTCGGGCTTTGGGGGTTCCTTCTTTTTCTTATTGCGGTCATTCCGTACAGCTGTATAGAGAGAAGATATGGTTCAGTTGAGATATGACTACAACAAACAGCTGATCAATGAGTGTAGCGTGCTACAGAGACATGTATGAGCAGAAAAGTCAGATCGTGTCACCAGTTACAGAACTGGATGTTATCTGATATAAATAGACACTGCTGTAGAATGAGAACACAGCCCAACCCATCCAACAACTCATGCCATGAAAAGCTTGGAGTCTTGTAAGGACATGAAGCCAGACCTTTTACCAACTTTACAACAATGGGCACTACCATGCCTGAAATATTCTTTTGGAACATCTATAGGCTGGAAAACAGAGGTACAAAACACTGTATGTACAGTTTATCCATAAATGTACTGCATCTCTGTACATATATATGTAGGTTGTATTTACTTCTTAGTGATGCTGCACAGTGATTTGGTCTGGTCACGTGATGACAAGTCCTCTTCATCTGGCAGCGGACAAGTGATGAATGCTATAGAGAGTTGCTGATGTAATGACAGTGCCAGAGAAGAGGTGCGTACTACAGTCGGACCTGTTTTTAATAAGATGTTGTCCTACTAAATAAAAATACAAAGCTGGAATGAATGGACTACAAGTACCATCTGCCACTGCGGCAGACGGCTTGTAGTTTTCAATGAAAAGAAAGGGTGCTGGTGAGTGCTCTCGTAGGTTATGGATTCTTCCAGGACTTCAATTACTGCCTGCCCATGCGGAAGGTACAGGCAGACAGTGTACTGAGAGTATGCAGGAGCCTGACATTGTATTACGATCTGCTGATTGTGGGTGCAATGCTTTCAGGCTACTGAGAAAAAATTAATAAATGCACATTTTATTTTTACCTGCAAAAAAAAAAAAATGTGCATGTACTATTTTTTTCAAAAGGTGACCTTATCCTTTAAGAGCTAAATGCATTTCTGAATGATCAATAGGTATTTTCCTAAATTTTCAGGGATACAATATGTACCTGCATTGCAGAGGTGTACTGTATATTTAGTTTTATTGGATTTTTTTTTCATTATGCCTTGATGTAAGCTTCTTTTCATGGCCAGTTTAATAGTTTTGTATTGCAACAAGGGCAAATATCTCAACCCCACACACATTGCCTCAATATGGTAAAATGTGTGTCACTGATGATGATACCCAACAAATATGGCTGACCATGAAGTATACATTTCTTATGGATGACCTTGCCTTTACATTTTTGGATAGTGCCTCTTCTATAGGTTTTTGCAGGTCCTTGTGCTCAGGACTTAGTTCACACGGCTCTACAGACCAAAGTCGCTCATCCTAATTTGACAGGCTTGTGGATGAGTGGCCCAGAACTCAGACCGCATGACCGTTTTATCTATATATCTATCTACACACATACACTGTGTGTGTGTATAATATATATATATTTTTTTTTTTTGGGGGGGGGGGTAGCGCTTTAATTGAAGATTCAAATATAACCCAAGGGGATTGTGATAATCCTTTGGTGCATGGCAGCTGCCTACATATCATTCAGATACCCCACAGGGACACCATTAGCATAATATTGACAACAATTTGAACACAATTGTCAACCATCTTCATCTCAAGGTTTCAGCACATCATTCTACTTCCACATAAAGTACAGGTAACAACTTGTCTGGATGGACTTTTGTCTTTTTTCGGCCAGACTAACTATGTAACTTGTCACCGCTGTGTTAAGCTGGCGATACATAGATCCAAATTCGGATTATTCAGCAGGGACTGCCAAATTCTGATCCATGTGTGGGCAGGGAGATTGTACAGAAATTGATCTACCAATCAACTTCTGTACAGTTTCCTGCTCGATCAGTACCGGCAGCTGATCATTGTACTCTGATGGCAGGGAAGTCTCCCCATTGTCAGAATACAATGGTTCAACGGGGAAGATTCCTCCATCCACGTCAAGTGTGTGAATGGAGGAATTAAGTTTTTTTTTTTTTCTTTTCTTCATTTAACCTGCCGGTTGAAGGAAAGAAAAAAGACTCCTCTATGGTCTGCCTTATACAGTGATTTAAAGGCAGAACATCACTGTCTACTATCACCCATATTTGCGTAAGCCTGCTTTTAATGACTGATACTAAAAACATGTGTCATATGAGATAAATGGAAAAAAAAATGTCAGATAAGTTCTGTGGAAAGCAAACCATGAGTAATGTAATCGCAGAATGTTTATCAGCTACGCGTTCTATCTGTGGTTTTTCTAAAGAGTCAGCGGACTTACATTACAGCCTTTCTTATATTGTGGGAATGCCTGCTAGTACTACACTGGAGAGAAGTATCTGCGTATTTTCCCCAGGAAGCACTGCCTGAAAGTCTGTGTCCGCACTCATTGTTCTAGTAGAGACTGCATCAATAGCACTTTAAATTGCTCGCCAGAACAACCTGTACTGATGAGTCTCAATAGGCAGATAGAGATCAGTCAGCAGGTGGGTGTTGTTTGTCAGCAAAAGCCTTGTCATGCTCTAAAAAACTCGGAAATAAAGAGAGATGCTGAGTAAAAGTCTATTACTCAGGATTTATTGTGAAAAGACTGGCTTTAAATAAAAGGGACCACAACGAGACAGTATTGGGCATAATGAATAGGCCGCGGGGAGTAAAAGATGTGATCAGTATGGAAGCTCATAGCAGGAGAGAAAACTTCATCGCTTCAATGATCTGACAAAAGGTAACTGGAGTCTGATTTGTTACTAAAACTTATGTAAATTTTTTGCTGATGCTAGGACGTGTACAATTCACAGTACAGGTATGGGATCACTTAAGCCGACCATAGATGGATCCAATCTCAGCCTGGTTAAGCAGCCACGGGATGAAATTCAATCCATCAATGGGCAGGCAGGTTGTACTGATGTCTATCCATTGATTGACTTCAGTACATCCAACCTGTTGGATTTTTTGCATGTGATCACTGCTGGCAGCTATAGCAGTGATCATTGTGTTCTGTCAGCAAGAAAGACTCCCCACCGACAGAACACAACAGCGCTGCAGGAGAGATTCCCCCATCAATACTCACTGTGTTGACAGGGAATCAAGCCATTTTCTTTCCTTCTACCTGTGATGGAAGAAAAGAAAATTGTATAATCTATGACTTGCCTTACAAAAAAAAGGTGAGCTTTTGCTGCTAAGCACTAGCACTTTATCCCTGTGTTATGTTAGCACGACGTTTGACATTCGCTGCAACACGAGAGAATGGAAAGAGCTTAAAGTGCAAGTTCACCTATTCAAAAAAAAAAAAAAAAAAGAAAAAAGGTGAACACACACACCCTAACCCCCCCCCCCCACTTAACTCCATGGGTGATGAGCTGTCAATGCCCATGTAGCTGGTGTAGCGGTCCAGAATTCTTCCGCTAATTTTTACAGGACCTCTGGGACAGGTCAGAGCAATTCTGATTGGTCAGCGCTGGCACAGTGAATTTCTCTGATCCGTCCTGTTATACATGCAGAAAGAAGAGGAAGAAGAAGAGTGGAGATTTCTTATCCCCAGACCGTAACACCAGCTGCATGGGCACCGACAGCTCCTCACCTACAGAGGTACAGTGGATAGAAAAAGTCTACACACCCCTATTAAAATGTCAGGTTTCTGTAATGTAAAAAAATGAGACAGATAAATAATTTCAGAACTTTCTCCACATTTAATGTGACCTATAAACTGTACAACTCAATTGAAAAACAAACTGAATTATTTTAGGGGGGGGGGGGGGGGGGGGAGTAAACAAACGGATGTGTAGACTTTTTATATCCACTGTAAGTACAGCGGGGATTGAGGGGGAATAAACATAAAAACCGGGTGTGTAGACTTTTTATATCCACTGTAAGTACAGCGGGGATTGGGGGGGGGGAGGTGTATAGGGTGTTAGTTCACCTTTTCATTTTTTTCTGAAACTGTGAATTAAACCTTTAAGGTGAAAGTGAACTCAAAAAGGAAGGATCTGCTTTGTTATAAAGAAGGAATGTCAGTGTCAATTGGGTCTAAGTAATACCCTGACCAATGTACCTTTTGCCCTGGTTCACACCGCTGCGATTTCAGGTGCGACATACGATTTACAAATTGCACCTGAAGTTGAATCGGATGTATTTCTATGGCACCGTCTTCATAGATGTGATTTGAAAAGTAGTTTGTGCATTACTTTTTCACCACTTCAGTGTGATTTAACTCTCATAGAATATAAGGTAAATTATTATACAGAAATTATATAGCGCCAACAGTTTGCTCAGCGCTTTACAATATAACGGGAAACAATACAGCAACAATACAGTTCAATACAAGAGGGTTAGTAGGGCCTGATCCTTGGAGCTTACAATCTAGGAGGGAGGAGATAAATGACACTGAGATCTATGTCAATAGATCTGTGTCTATATCAGCACTAGGTTGGAGTTGCGCTTTAAATGGGACCACTTGGAAATTGCATTCAGTGTGAACCATGGCCTTGCCAGAAAAGTACTTGCTGGTATGTGTGCCTAGGCACTCCTGTGTTTATGTAAACAAAGGAATGCAGCGCTAATTAACTAAATAATAATGTCCAAATTAAAGTCCATATAAATACTCAAGGAAAATGGAACAAAATAAAGGAGAAAAATCTTGATCCCATATACCGTCACCATACACCCAGAAAAAAAATGATCCCTTACCGGACTCTTTGACCGTATAACAGCGGTCAGTTATGCGCAGTATACTGAGGAAATGCCTGTGTTTATAGCCTCATCGGCGTCTCTCCTAGATTGTAAGCTCGAAAGAGCAGGGCCCTCGAACCCCTCGTGTATTGTTTTGTTACTGTATTGTCTCATGTACTGTCCCCCACTATAATGGACAACGCTGAGCAAACCTTTTGGCGCTATATAAATACTGTATAATAATAATAATAAAAAACTACAGTGTGAGATCTAAGGCACTGCTGTGAGATCTAAGGCACGGTTCCCTCTAGTCTCGGGAGTGCATTTGGTGACATCACCACTCTGCTGCTCACCGTTATTCTGGCACAGAGCTCTAATATGAAG